CCACCAACCAGAGAGCATGCATGCATGGCGCAGACCTAGGTCCTCTGCACATACGTAGCAAAATGTACAGTGTGGTCCTCATGTAGGACCTGTAGCAGCAGGAGCTGTTCAGGGCTGTCTCTGCCTCTGTTGCCTGCCTTTGGATCCCTTTCCTCTAACTGGGTGGCCTTCTCTAGCCTCAATAGAAGAAGATCCACCCAGTCCTACTATAACTTGATATGCCAAAGTGGGTTGATTGGTGGGAGATCTCCCTGTCTCTGAGAAGAAAGGGAGGGAGCATGGGGAGAGGGGAAGTGAGAGAGAGGAACTAGGAGGAGAGGGGGGAGGGGAAACTCCAATCGGGATGTATAATTAACTAATTAGTGAATGAATGAAAAACAGGGGCTGGAAAGATGGCTTAGAGGTTAGGAGCACTGGTTGTTCTTCCAGAGGACCCAAGTTCAAGTCCCAGCACCCACATGGCAGGGACTCCAACATTCTCACACAAACAAGTGTGTAGCAAGACACCAATATGAGAAATAAAAATAAGTTTTAAAAAGTTTTTCTTTAAAAGAAAGAGAACGAAAACAGAGGCTCCAGCCCACAGTTATCCAGAGAATTACATCTTTCAAATTTCAGCCACATTCTAAAAACCAAGCTCAAGAGAGCAAATAAAACCACACGTGCTGGGGCCGGAGGAGCGGCTCAGCAGTTATGAGTATGTACTGCTTGCTCCTGCAGAGAACCAAGTTCTGTCTGCGCACAGTGTAGACAGCTACTACTTTCATCACATTTCTTTCTCTTTTTTGGGGGGGTGGGAGGTGGGGGGGGGGTTGAGACAGGGTTTCTTCTCTGTATAGCCTTGGCTATCCTGAATTCGCTTTGTAAACCAGACTAGCCTCAAACTCACAGAGATCCTCCTGCCTCTGCCTCCCCGAGTGCTGTGATTATAGGCGTGCTCCACCACACCTGGCATCTGCCTGTAACTGATGACTGCGGTCACCTGCAAACCCTCACAAGCACATAGCCACCTAAGGCAACAGCATAAGTTAAAGGCAGAGACAGTTTGCACCGAATTTTACAAACATGTCAGTAAATATCCTCCCAAAGCAGAAAACACAATTACAGAGCCACGCTACAGAACAGAGACCAAGACAGCACACAATAGGCTAGTAAGGGACCGACCGATGATGAAAGAAAGGTGAGTCCATCCTCTGACAAACCGCAGTGGGGCGGAGACCTGCAGATCAAAGAAACTGAGAAAGCTGAAAGAATGTCCTGAAAGGGCTTGAAACGAGACATGGCAGCTGGGAAGGGATCCCTCCCCGAAGAAAAAGGTGCTGTGAAGAGATGTTAAGAGCGAGGGCTTGATTTTGTGAGTAGGAAGGAAGCACACAGAGAAGAGTCCCGCGGTTGCCCCAAAGTCCCGAGGTCACCAAAAGAGAAACAATCCAACCAAATGGGTGCATTCTGCTCTACAGACACTAGAGGGCACCCTTTAATTCAGAAATCTGATTATCCTCTTTGGCAACTGCTAAAACAGGAAAGCAAAACATTCAAAATGCACAGAAAATAGCAGGAATCGCGTTACATAAAGAAAATTAGTTTTAAATCAATTCTATTATTTTAAAATTAACCATGAAATATAAAAACTTGAGTAGAACACTCCAATCTAAATTAGAATACCCTTAAATGTCACTTAATGACGTGAAAGAAAACAAAAAACACTTAACTATTTAAAAAACACTTAAATATTTAACCAGAAATATAACTCAGAAATTGACAAAAAACTAAAACGGCAAGAACAGAGTTGGCTAAAATAACGCATTGGAGAAAATAAATCATTAAAAAAGAGGAACAAAAGTATGTTAGACGTCCTAAGGGAAATTTTAACTACTGATGTTGAGGAAAGAAATGAAAGTAAAATCAAGAAAGCAGTAAGCAGATCCTTGGAGAACGTGATAGACACAGTTCCCGAAGAAGAAAATAATGGAATACTTTCAAAAATGTTAAATTAGGAAAAAAATTTTTTTGAAATAAAACTTGTGTCTGCACATTGAAAAAGTCTTACATGAACTCATTCGAAATGGTAAATTCGAAGAAGAGTTTTAGAAAATCAGCTAAACTGAGAAATTAGGTTCGGTTACCAGCATCCAACACGGTCCACATGTGATAGATACATCCACACAGCCACATAGACGTAAATAAAAAGTCTTTTTTAATTTAATTAAATGAAAGGGGGGAAAATCCTCCAGATTTCAAGGGGGAAAATGACATAAAAGATACAAGCCTGGTGTCAGCCTGGTCTCCAGAAAAACCCTGTCTCGGAAAGAAAGAAAAAAAATATATTACTAAAGACTCTAAAATTAAGTCCCTAGTAGTCCCGCCCCACCCCCGCCCACCCACCTCCCCATTATTTCCTGGATCTACATAAGATGTGCCGACGATTTAAGTGTTTGAAACGACGATTTATTCCAGAAATTCCGGGTTCCGAGCCACAAAAGGACTGGAGAGCGCCCGCGGGCCTCGAACCAGCCACTCTTGAGTCTCCCCCGAGTGGCCAGCTGTTGAAACAAGAACTGTTTGCCTTAGGACGAAGTAACCGCTGAGCTAAAGCCAGTCCGGGAGCCGATTCCTGGATATATTTACATGACTGTGCGAGACACTTACGTCACCCAGCTACGCCGAGAGTTCCGCGGTGACAGGGCGTGTGAGACTGGCCAATCGGACGCCGTTGCGGCCCGCTTCCCGCGGCGTCCGCGCGGACACCGAGCGCTCCCCTGTCCAGTCCTGCTGCAGCCGTAGCGATCGCCCGCCGCGCTAGCTCACGTCCGCCCGGCCCTCACCCGGCCCCCACCTGGCCCTCACCCTCACTGGGTTACCTTCTCAGTCACTGTCATCCGCCCACGCCAGCGGAAGCTCCCTCACCCTCACCCTTCTCAGTCACTGTCATCCGCCCACGCCAGCGGAAGCTTCGAGAAGTGTGAACTGTTAGCCCAGGCACGCCCTGGAACTTCGCGGCTTAAAGCAGCTCTCCTGGAAGTGTATCGGCACATGTCCTGTCACTACGTAATTTCAAATATCTGGTCAGCACTTACGCCATTTATGTACTGAAATCAACTGATTTTCCTTAGAATTCCTCTCTCTAGTTAGCCACCATACTTCAGCGTGGATTCGCTCAAGACACGGTTTAGGACTGTTGATGTTTTTGCTATGCATGTTTTTGGGTGCTCTTTTCTCTTAGGTAACTGTCTTGGACAGAGCATTTGGAAGGTGAAAGGCCGAGATTGGCTCCATGAGACCCTGTCTCAAACCAAGACAAAAGTTAATCTTGGAGAGCTTTCCTCTGACGTATACCTAACTCCCCTCCATTGTAATGCTTGCCCTAAATGCACTGGTATTAAACATTCCTTTCTCTATCTATTGATGTCTACAGAAGAACGCTATTTGTGTATGACTTGCTTCAGAGACAAAGTCTCATCCTGTAAACCAGCTTGGCTCTTCAACATGCCATCCTCTTGCCTCAACCTCCCAAGTAAGGGACTGATTTTACAGTCCCACCACATCTATTTCTGCCTTTGTAGGGCCGGAATCAAACCCAGGTCTCAATAGGGATATGCATACCACGAGAATCATTTTTGTCCACAGACAGAGTCTCAAAGAGCCTGGGCCTGAATTTGCTATATAGCCAAGGATGACCTCGAGTTCCTGACCCTCCTGGAGTAGTGTGCCCAACACACCCTGTTGTAGGAGTTGCCAGGGATTGAACCTAGAGCTTTGTACATGCTAGGCAAAGCACTGAATTCCCAGACCCACAGGAGTTTTTAAACTTACACCCAACATGGTGGGAAATGTCTATTACCCCACGTCTTAGGGCAAGTAGAGGCAGGAGGAACAGGATTCAAGGCCATCCTTGGATATGAGATCCTCTGAGAAGCCACAGAGCCGCTTTTCATTTCCTGTTTTCATTTTGAGACAGGGTCTCACTATGTAGACAAAGCTGTCCTCAAATTCAGAGCTCTATTGCCTTTGCCTCCCAAGTCATGGGGTTAAATGCATCACCACACCTAGCTCCTGGATATTTAAGAAGCAATTCAGATCAATTCCCTACCTACGGATCGTGACACCTTGTTCCAGATGTTAATGCCTTACCAGGCATGGTTGTGCATGCCTGTAATCCCAAAGTACATGGGAGACAGGAGGATCATCAAATGAAGTTTATCTTCAAAACAATGAATAAATGAACACAAGTGGACAGCAGTACTTTCAATTAAACTACAAATTTTCCATGGACTATACAAGGATTCCTGAGTTACCTGGGATTGTTCTGTCTTCTCAACTCCCCATATGCCACTGTCTTCACCTTCAAACCCACCATTAACCACCACCCCCACTCCATCCCCATAGAACCTAACAGCTCATTCCATTTACCAGTCCAAAAGTGTTCACAGAACCTGGAACACATGATCACAATGGGAATGGCACAGATGATCTCACCAGACTAGACCCCAAGGTGTGAACACTGTAAGAATCTCCTCTCACTCAAACGTTGTCCTAGCTTCCTTGAAAAAAATAAAATGACCTACTCAACAAAGGGAATCTACGGACTGTATAAGCAGTCCTGCCGAGGATAGTGTACATGAATGTACCTGCAATTGGCCTGAAACTCTGTGAGGTTTCTTTCATACAAGCTCTTGCTATACAGACCAGACTGGCTGCAACCTTACAGCAACTCTCCTGCTTCTTCTTCCCAAGTGTTATGTCTTCCGGTATGCACCATGCTCAAAACTGTACAAAATTCCTGAGCCAGGCGTTGAGCCTACCTACAGATGGACATATTCATGCAGCACTCCCAGCAAGAGAATCCCATGAGAACTCATTAAACCAAAAGCAGACTTATCAGTAAGGAAATCCTACACACAAACCCAAAGGGTGTGGTACAATGCTTTGTGGGATCCAGTGTTTCAGATGCTACACAAAGGTGAACCACATAGGTAAGAGAAGAAAAGGCATTGTGGCAGTCTTGTCAAATGGACCCCTTTATTGAAAGTATAGAGCCAGTAAAGGGAGTTTCACCTGTTTACATGACTTGTACGACTGTCCCCTCTGCCCATCTCGCCCTTAAATTCCTTAGACAAGGCACAGTATGTGATCCAGTTCTCAGTGTTTGGGAGGGATTTTTAACTAGTCTAAGTCATGTGGTTCACATTACACTACAATGGGGAAGAGTTTCTTAAATCATTTTCAATGGGAGAGCCGTTTACCCACTCCCATGGACAATTAGTTGTCACAAATTAGATGGGAGTGCTACTGACATCTACTGGGTAGAGGCCAGGGAGGCTGTTCAACATCCTACAGTGCATAGAACCCTTTAAAACAGACCTGGCCAGGCATGGAGGTACACACCTTTAATCCCAGCACTGGAGAGGCTCAGGCAGGCAGATTTCTGAGTACAAGGCCAGGCACGTGAGAACATTTCAAAAATATAAAACAAAAACCCCAATCCAAAATTTGCCTAGGTCATCATCAACAGTGCCAAGGTGAGTAGCCCAGGGCCTGTCCAACTGCAGACAGTGACATTTAACCCTGAGCTCTCATGGTAAGATCAAGGTGAGTAGCCCAGGGCCTGTTCAACTGCAGACAGTGACATTTAACACAGCTCTTATGGTAAGATCAGACATGCTAAAGGTACAGGAGGTTAAAATGTTCTGTTAAGACTCCCAAGGACACAGATCCTATTAGCAGAGGGGAAAACTCACTCTAAGGAAACCTGTATTTGAAGGGGGTGTGGGATCAAATGAAAGAGAAAGGCTCTATGTGGAAATTCTTGGTGTAGGAACTGTGGGACAGAAGGTGATATGGAAATGTTCCCAACGAATGTGAAACAGGCTTAGTCACTGTCACTGATTGTACATGTTGAATAGTGTCTGAGAACTGGGATCTCCCAGAGTGAGTCTGTTTGGTTTTAGGGTTGCCGTTTTCTTTTTTGCATCAAACAGGTTCTTCCAAGAACCTGTTCCCAAGGAAGACAAAAACAGAAATCCTCAGTGAAGTGAAACAGAAGTTAAAAACTCACCAGACACAAACCACACCAAACACTCATCCCATTTAATTTCCTGTTACATGCACCTAGGAAACCAAGAACAACAGGCCTCAGGGCAGCAATGCTCTGAGGTTCTAGGTCAGGTCCCCTCTTTGTGACGTATCATGCACACATACCCACACACACATTGACCCAGGCAGAAATCACATGCATGCCCAAGTGGGTAGAGAACCGCTAGGTAGGATGGGAGGAACAGCTGGCTAAGAATATGCCAGCACCTGCATACTGGAGCCCCCAATAACCCTTCTGCTGCAAGCTGAACAGGAGTAAAGATTAAAACAGCAGAACACAGGGGAGGAGGATGCTCAAACAAGAGGGTGGGCAGATGAAGAGGGAAAGATGCAGGAGAATTTGGGGAAAGCAGCCTCAAAGAGGGAGGTCTTTCTTTATTGGGAACACAGGTGGGCAGAGGTTCTGTGACTCCAGAAATACTGAGGCTGACGGAATATGCCACAGCATCACCTCTACGTCCTGTGCCCTCTCCCAACGTAGAGAGAACCACAAACACCCACCCTCTAGCCCTGCCCATTAACACTCTTAAGGACTTTCTCCAGTACCCAAAAAAGTGACACCCCCACCCCACCTCAACACACACTCAAAGTTAGGTCCAGTATAGGCCAAAGATAGGCCAAAAAGAGCGCTTCAGTAACTCTTCTTGGTGGAACCAAAGCCAGAGAAACCCATCACAGCTGCCATCTCATCATCCTCCTCAAATGTCAAGTCCTCCTCCGCCCTCCTTTTCTTCTCCTTCTGTTTCTCCTTCTTGTATGCTTTAGCCTTCTCCTCCTAGGGTAAGGGAGAGAAAATTAGAATCAGTTGACTCCAAAGCTGATGTTGTTGAAAGAGATATGTAAGCTGCAGGATTCTTTTCCATCTTTAAGTGCAAATAAAAGCCACAGTAAAGAATGAAAAATCAGTAATAAAGCACTTGTCCAGCATGCATGAGGCCCGAGAAGACTGTAAGAAAAGATTTTAAAGGACAAGAAGAGATTCAGTAAGTCTCTGGAGTTCTTAATCATACACCCTAGTTCATCTCTAGTTCTAAATAGACAACATTCTGGGATAGGAAGCATATGCTAAGACATGTTCTCAGTTCTGTGTAAATATTATCCTAAGATCTTCAGTACAAGGAATAAAGTACACTGAGGTTATTTAACGTGCCCAAATATACAAATAAATGGAAGAAATGAATTCTGACCCTGTAATGGATACATGGGCCAACTAGGGACTAGCTGTATTTAATTAATCCCTCTTATAGTGTAAAATGGAATAGAAAGTATAGGGGAAGCTATCTGTACATGCAGGGGTATAGGATGGCAATGGAAGGTTTTGAACTTTCTTCATTTTGCTATGAATTAGTGAAGAACAAACCTGTCTAAAAAACAAACCAAATGAAAGAATAATTGTCCCAAGAGATCTGATCTAAAATGCCAAAGAGAAATGGATAGGTTTTGAGCCACTTCTAATAGGTCTCAAACAAGGAGACCCTCGTACACAGAAATGAAGGAACAAAGCCGGGGAGATCAGAGAGTGAGTGGAGAAAGAGGTCCATCTTCAATTAACAAGGTAAAATCGACTCAAGGCTGGGGAGCAGCATTAGGAGAGCTCACCTCTTCTCTGAGCTCCTTCATCCTTTCCTCAAAATCATAATCTTTCTGCTTCTCTTCCATCTTCTTCTTGTTAACCTCAAAACGTTTCTTTACCTGATCCAGAGTGGACCGCTCCACACGCATAGACATGCCCAGGTTTCGCTGATCTGGAGAAGTTAACAGTGAAGACAACCAGTCATTCTAACACCCTCAGCCCTTCCAAAAGTCTGGTCCTGGCTTTTGAAGGTTTTTGTTTGTTTGTTTTTCACCTTTTCATAGTAAAGTACACAACAAAAATAACTATGGCTAAAAGAAGCTCTTGGCCTCACCTGCTCTCAAAAGTGGTAGCCCAGATCATGAGCAGATAGCTTTCAACTGCATTTGCTAGGAGATTACCAACAGAGTCAACCAACACTTCTGGCCTCTGTGCTCACACACAAGCCATCACAGACCCAGCAATACTCATCAACACACACACACAAAGGGCCCAAGAAAACCGCTCTCCCGCACTTGCCCTCCACCAGACTTTTAAAACCCAATCCCAGCTCCAGTCATGAACTACCTCCAAGTCTTACGTTTCTTTCCATTAATGTGATCCAGGAAGTTGATGGAGTCCTTCACCACACAGTCACAGACATTGCAGTAGTAGCTGACAAAAGGGAAGAGACACACACGAGTCAATGATTTTTAAGAATCTTACTGTTTTCAGTGAAGAGACCCAAATTTTGAGGTAAATGTATATGAAGTTTGTTTTGTTAACTGAGATATTAATTGGCCTGGAACTCACTACATAGACCAAGCTGGCTGTACACTTGCAGAGCTCATCCCACCTCTCCTGAAGTGCTACAATTATAGACATGTGCCACAAGCCTGGCTAGCCCTTCTTTTCTTTTCTTTCTCTCTCTCTTTCTTTCTTTCTTTCTTTCTTTCTTTCTTTCTTTCTTTCTTTCT